CTCTCTCTCTGTGTCTTGTCTCTTTTTCTCTCTTTCTCTCTACCTCCCTCTTTCTCTGTGTGTGTTTTGTCTCTTTCTCTTTCCATCTCCCTCTTTCTCCCTCTTTCTCTCCCTCTCTCTGTCTTGTTTCTCTCTTTTCCTCTCTTTCCCTCTCTCCCCCCTCTGTCTGTCTTTCTCTTTCCCCCTCTCTCTTTCTCCCTTTCTCCCACCTCTCTTTATGTCTTCTCTCTCTCTCTCTCTCTCCCCCCCCCCCCCCATCCCTAGAGGTGGGGAAAGGAACCTCTGAACTGGTGCTAGGTGGTGGGAATCTGATGTCTGGAGGCTGACAAGTCAAGTGCTGAAGACCAGATGGTTGGCAGGGAGGAGAGGTAATCCTGCAGTCTCCCTCGCAAACCAGTGTCATGGCTGCTGCATTGAGGAGCCAGAGGAGCAGCGGGAAGAGCACAGACTTCCTGAGCTACAGGAAGAAGCTGCCAGCAATGCCCTCAGGTGAAGATGTTTCTAGGGGAAGGCTTGACCCTTCCCCTCAGGAGCTGCAAAGCGCTCGCTGCCCCTCTGTCACCCTCCAAGCCTCCTCCTTCCCACTGGGCATGTGAGAGCTTCTGGCAAGGAGGAGGAAGAGAAGCACAGTGGGAAAAGACTTGGCAGCTACCAGAGAGGCAGTGAGTGCTTTGCCGCTCCTGAGGTGAGGGGTGTGGGAGATTGCGCTCTCCCATCGCAGGCCGGAGAACACCCGGGTAGGACTCCACACACCATCAGTATCACCCCTGTTGCAGACATGGGTGCGCTGCGGACCACCAAAATTTTCTCATGGACCACCAGTGGTCAATGGACCACCAATAGGTGACCTCTGCTGTGGAAGACCCAAGATCACAATAGGCGTACATTGTCCCTATACTTACATTAATGAATATATATTTTGCAATAGTGTTTTAATCAAATCTGTCAAGTAAAATCAAACTTGGAGGTAGACATTAAAAAATTTGAGACACGCACATAACACTACATTGATTGAAGTAAAGAACTCATCTGGAAAGTAAAAATGAAAACTCAAATATCTATATTAATGGTAAATATTAAGAAAACTAATTTTACATGAATGAGTATTACAGATTTGGAAATTGTAACTAACAATACAGGTAGTCTTCAACTTACAACTGCAATTGAAACCAGAAAATATTGTCATGAGCATAAATGGTGGTAAAATATTAAAGAACAGATACCAACTGCTAAATAAATAGAACCCATTGGAACTCTAATGAAAAAAAAAAGAACTATATTCAGCAAATTTATAATAAACCTATAGACATCCATTACAACAATGACTGGCATTGTTTAGTGTAGTTCAATTTAGGAGTTTAACTACTGAAGTAGTATTTTTATTTTATCTCTTATGGTTATATGTCAAACAAAATCACTGTGGCTTTTCCAGGAAACCAAATCAATTGTACACATTTATAAATATGGGAATAGGATCAAATTTCCAATACAAATTCATTTTCTTTCCTTTCAGTTCAGTCCCAACTATGCCAAATTCAAACTCTGAGCAATTGCCAGTGAGATTCATTTCCACATTAAGCAAAAATCTTCATCAAAGTCAGGCATATCTAGGAGGCTATAGTTTTTATTAGATATACTTAGTGACATAGAATTAAGTTAAAAGTATGCTTGGATTTTCAGAATTAAAACTCCAGCCCTGAGAGGCCAACATTTGAGTATACCCACATTTAAAAAAAACAACAGCGGCATGGGAGAAATCTACAAATTGTACGGCCCTCTGTCATGTATATTTGTGTTAAAGGGTATCTTTTTTTCTGAACTGTTTTTCCAGGCTACAAATGCCCAGAGCTGCTATTCATTTATTGAAGGAAAATGCTGCATTTCAAGATGCAAGGATAAGAAATATATGATTTAATGCCTTAGTAGATCACTAAGAATGCCCTTCCCCTCCCCAGCCCTAGATTCATACATTACATTACCACCACAAAAATTTCAGGGTAGTTTAAAAGCATTCCTTCCTTTGCATTTGATCGACCTAATTATCTTTTCATACCTACTTCATCCTTATTTCTACGTTTATATATAACACATGACTTACATTTGTAGCAGCTTGCTCTTTAAACTGTGAACTTGCTGCAGCAAATATTTATATTTGCCTTTATCTAGCAAACTGGACATTTTAGTGCAAGAAAGCACCTTGAGTACGCAGATAATGAACATTGGCCATCTTATCGCAACCATTTATAGAAGAGTGTACAGAGTTCACAAGGATATTAAATGTAGTCAGTTGCAACTCTATACCAGCTAAGACTCAAAAGAAATCTAGTAATTCTGCCTACTAATGTTGCCTTTGACTTTGTCCATATTCAATACTTGAGGTCCAGGTTACTAAATATGTCACTCCTTGTCTGCATGTTTTCTCTATTTCCCAGGGAGGGCTTAATACACCTGCAGAGCAGAAACAAAAAAAAAAGATAATCAGGAGAAACAAATGTATCGTCAAATAAGCTTTTGTGAACTAAACTTTAATTCATTGTAAGGTAAAGCCATGGATAATAATGTAGTCCCAGAGGGCACATTTGGAATCTTGAAATATATGTTAGTTACACCATAAAATGGCTGCCAAGAAGATCCAGTAAAATCAGTTTATTTAAAACACCCACTTTTAGATTACTGAACGGTATACTTTAGACTTGCCAGGAATGGGGAGACAACTAAAAATGGCAACTTATCTAATGTGCGCTTCATTCATTTTATTTAGATTTTTTCCCTGCTCCCCTGGATGGTTGACCCAGAGGTTATGCTGTGTCTCTGTGACTCAAAACAGTTGCAAAATCATACCATTAGCTGGAATCCATTTCACAAAAGGTTTCCAATTCTGCATTACATATGTACTATCTGCCATCTTTCCTTTATGTGGATCAACAGTGATAAGGGCTGTACTTCTATCACCTTGCAATAGAATATAATACTTGCTATTTTTTCCCACACTGAGGCTTTATTCCTATTGTCAGTCACTGCCATTGACCCTGACCAAAAAGGTTACATTTTGAAGTATGAGAAGAATAAGAGGAGGATGCCATATAAACCTCTGCGTGTAATAACATGTTTTCATCTTTAGTGCCTGACACTTTCTTGTCTAAGGTTACAATATTGCAGTATTAAGAATTCAAAGATAAAAATCTGAAGCTGAAAATTTGGAGGCTTCACTGTATTATCAGATATTGATCAGACTCTCACAAGCAGGAAACATATATGGTCTTACACTCACTTCATCCTTCCAACACCAACTGATCTTTGAAACATAATGCTTCTTGTTACCCAGGAAACAATATAAAACCATCGTGACATAGTCATTGGAATCCTTTCACTTCTGAATTTGAATTAAGACATCCAAGTTGATATTCATCATGGCATCTTGCATCAATGCATAGATTACTTTTTCTTCATGTATTTGTTTTGCAGTTTAGTTTTGATTCTTTCTATATAGATTGTTCAAAACTTACAAGCATAATTGGGTTTGAAACTTCTATTATTAAGTCATGTGTTCATCAAGTGGTTTATTAGGCTTGCTGCAATTGTTAAGCAAATCACAATTACACAGTTGTAATCCGTGTAATTCAGCTTCAGTCATTGGCTTTACTTTTCAGAATCCTACCTGGAAGGTCATAAATGGTGATCATCTGATGCTGGAATACTAGAAGCCCATTGTAAATTTCATGAAAGAACACTAATTTTGAGCACATAGCTGCAGGGTCAGTTGTAACTGGAAGTTGTAGCTAGAGGAACTGCTTTAAGTCCCTTTTTTATTGCCATTGCAACAGTTGTTGGACAAGTAGTCCTAAAATGAGGACTACTTGTATAAGTCAACATTTTAATGTACTTGTTTCATATTTAGTCATACAGAAAAAATTCAATCATTAGTTGTCTGAATTAGCTTTTCCTCTTTTTCTGAATATCTCACCGTTCTATGAAATGTATGTAGCCAGATTTACTGTTGGAAAGAAAATCCATTTGGCTCAGTTCCAAGCTGGGAAAAAGACACTGGAAACATGGAGGCTGATTGGAAAGAAGGGTTCATTGATTAAGCAGATTGTGACTAATGGCTTTTGTCCTTTGTTGCATCTTGGGTGAGGGGCTGCTTCTAATCCTATCACTCTGCTTATGTTAGCTGTCAAACTTTGCTACAAGCTGTTTTGAAATATCCTGCCTTGAATGGATATCTGCCTGCAGTATTTGCTTTGCTTATGAATAGAGCTATCTAGATAGTTGTCTTCCTCTTTTAATAAGCTCTTTATCTCTTAAGTGCTGGCATCTGCTGTGGGCTATTAAGAAAGACTTGGGGGGAGCTGCTTCCTGCCTCTAAAACGTATTTCTCCATTAGGAGATTTATTTTGCTGTTTAAAATATAATATACCTTTTATAGGATTTATTTAAAAACTTTTGTTTACTTTCTTTTGGCTTTCTGTTATTATTTATTGTTATTCTTTTAGTTTGTCATAGAATTGAAAAAGCAATTAAAAAGAAACACCCAACATGCCAGTAGGCAATTCTTTACAGTCTCCAACTATATGCATTGCAATAGAAACCAGACTTTTGTAAACAAATACCTCAAAAACATAAGAGTGTACAATACCTATCAATCTTAGACTCAGACATAGGAAAGAAATAATAAACAATGATGTTCAACTCATGGGGAAGGCAAAGAGCTGTTCTAAATTTACTTTAACTCAAAATCAATCGTATGCATGCAATTACTTCAGTGAAAAATTTGTTTTTAGGATGACCAATGTCTCCACGATCTTGCTCTAAAAGCTAAAATAAAATAGTGTAGTGACAACGGGAAAGTGCAAATCGTCTCGCACTCTTCCACGACTGCGTTGAAAACCAGGTCGTCGGGCTGCACATATTTGCATATTTTTACCTTTGTCTCCGAAGATCAGCCAATGAGGTTGCCTGCGGTCCACCTCCCCCCTCCCGGAGTTTCTGACTGGCACTGGCTGCTAGCTGGGAAAGAGGGGTTTTCTGACGGCTGTCCCTGCAGTGCCGCCGTGGTCACTCTCGTTCTACCTGCCCTTTTCCACTTCGGGCAGGGGGAGGCAAAGGTTTGTTTTTCCTCCTTTGAAAAAAGAGGGGAATTATCTAGATTCGGGGGACGCTGCGGCAGAGACCACAACCGCAGGGGCGCGATGGTTTGCGGCGGCTTCTCTTGTTCCAAGAATTGCCTTTGTGCGCTCAACCTGCTTTACACGGTAAGTCCAGCCACCGCCCGCATTCTCGAACCAGGTGGAAATTGAATGGAAGCCTCTTGCAGTGGGGAAGAGGGAGGGCATGGAAGATCTTGCCGCCGTCCCGAAGTGACTGGTCTTTTCTTCCTGCTGAGCGAAACAACATCACGGAAGGCCTGTAGTTTGCAGGGGGGGAGAAGCAGTGGTGACCGCCAAATATCCCGGAGCAAGTCGCCTTCGCTAAAAACGCTTCTCAAGCGCTACTGTAGCCCATTTGGCAAAGGCGATGCACCTGCCGCGACGAGAAAGAATCTCCACGAGGGACTGCGGGAACTCGAATCTGCTAGAAGCCCCTTTCCTGCAGGCTTTCTTCGGTGGCTAGGCAACAGGGTGTTCTGTTAAACCCCAGATTACGCGCTGGGAGCTCCACGGTTGTGTACTTTGGGGTGACATATCAGCAGGATTATCTGTTTCGAGCAACTGCACAGAGGGCGGTTGTTTAGCCTTCTTCCTCGCCTGAGAGAGAAATCCAACAGTGGGGAAATCTTCACCTGTGGAACGTCTTCCAACTAGGTATTAGCCACAGAGGCGAATATTGACTTGGAAAAGCAAAGTTAGATAATTTGGCTGATAATACTAATTAGCTGAAATATTATTAGTTTTTATCTCTAAAAAGTTTGAGCCTTTTCGTTTTTATTTTATATCCAAGCCTTTGCATGTCCATACTAACTCTAGATGACATTTGTTTAAATTGTGGAGTAATAATCCATAACATCTTACGCTGTATTATTTTAGCTTCTATAACTCTACAAAACTCTGACTTCCATTTGTGCATTTGCACTTGGAAATAAACTATTGCTGAATAGGGAGCCACAAGGTCCCACATCTGACACTTCCTGAAACAGGAGGTAAAATAAGTTGCATCATTGATGCTGCCATCTTGACTTCATTGACTCCTATCCTTCCACTCATTTGTGTGCTTGTTTATTATTAAACGTATTTCTCTCCATCTCACTATCAAGCAACTCCGACCATGATACGAGATTGCAACTCTCATTGCAGGTTGGGACAGATGGAAGCTGCAATCCCACAATATTCAGAGGGATTCAGGCCTTCTAACTGTGTCATCTTATAGGATAATATTCTTTGCTTTTGTGGATTTAAATTGCTCAAAAACTTCTCACATATTTTTAAAGTAGGGTAAAAGAAGAGGAACTACTTTTTCCACTTTTTAATAGTTTACATTAGGAAGCTATTAGAAAATTCACACAATCTGCTCAGCAAAAATTTGCTTAAGCACTTTTCTAAATAAATCATGTCATGTAAAGCCAAATGTACACAACTGAAGTCCCTAAGCAACTAAAGCCAAAAACCTTGGGTATATCTTGACTTTCTTCAAAAGTTGTTACCCAAATATTAAATAAGGAATCATATCAACTATAATTGATTTTAATTACTATTACATGGATGATAGATAGATAGATAGATAGATAGATAGATAGATAGATAGATAGATAGATACTGGGAAGCAGAGTTTCCATACACTATGGTCAGGCCACATGCTACTCTTAGCATACACACCTCTATGTTAGTCCCTGAACCATGATTTACAAGCAAATGGTTGAATCTATGCTACACATTTTGAGAATGCATTGAACGAGCCCATTTAATGCATATCTAAACATTGTTTATTTACTATTAATAATGACTTTGACTACTTTATTTACTACTACTAATTTGCCTTGTTATATCTGTAGTTTTTCTTGGAAGCAGCTGGATGAGTACCACAGAAAGCCAGATTTGTAGATTAAGGTAAACTTCTAGATAGATTTGTTCTAGCAACATTCATAATCTATTCTGGAAGTGTGTAAAACTTTTTCAGAGCAGTAAATACTGACGTCAGGAAATCCCTTTCCAACCTCAGCTCTTTTCCATGGACAGTCATTTTGGTAAGGCTACAGTTAAGTGGTTTTGACATTGGAGCAGTGTGGAATGGAATATGACTTTTCAGGATCATGCTCTACATGATATTACTTTATCCATGACTTTTTGAGCCACAGACTATCCCATAAAACAACTATGGCCATCTTATTTTGCTTACTTTGTTTTTTTGTCTTAAATTAACTTTAAAAAGTTAGAATTCTGATTTTGAAGCGTTAGAAATGTTTTTACTATACTTTAACTTTGCATTAAATTATTAAGCTTTTAAAAATAGAATGTCAAGTCATGCCATTTCTGCAGTAAATTGGAAAGCATTGCAACCTCTAGTATTAGCACACAGATGAAAAACCATCACATCTAGTCAAATCAAGTGATTCAGTTTCCAGATAAGGAAGTAATGGAAAAGTGTGTATCTTGCCACGTCATGTGTAAAGCTGAATAATGTATGTTTAGTTGAGGGTTTGAGGCTTTAATTACTCAAAGCTTGTGTTCCAGATTAGTTTCAATATTGGCCTTTAATGTTCTTATATTTAGAAACCATAGAACCTGGAAAACAAGATTAAGGTGGCAAGACAACAAGAAATTACAGCAATGAAGTCTACTGGGGCTTACAAACAATTACTGGATCCTGTTGAAACTAAACATTTGCAGTTGGAAAATGAGTTTTTTAATTTGAATAACATATATTTGCATCCTTTTATTACATTTGCAGTATTACACAGCAGTGTTATATCATTCCTCTGTAATGGTCCAGCAAGTCAACTTTTAAAATAAATATTTGTTATTGACATCTTGTGCTTGAGTTTTTACTGCATATAGCTAGTTGTAAATGATTTTAAACTATTACTGAATTGCTTTCCTACTTTTTACACCTTATCAAATACTTTTTTTCCTGGCCTAGATTATGAATTCATTGAATACACTTCAACAGTTTGAACTGTACACTTAATTAGACTAATAAAACTGCAATAGAAGAATAATAGTGGAAGTAATGCATGTATCACTATAAATCTACCAGTGGGGATTAAGATATAATTTGGAAACTTCTCAAAACATGGAAATTGCAACAATTTTTGGGACTGGGACTGCTAGTACTAGAGGAAACGATTGGATTGATATATCAAATACATCCCATTTGGCTTTGTGAAAACATCACACAATCCTAGGATTTTCAAATATGTACAATCAAAAAGCCAGATATTTTCAAGAAATAAAGTTTGTACCACTTTATTCTGGATCATTTACGATAAAGCATTACTGAGTATTGCATAAACTTATCAGCTTCTAGGAAGTTGGTGATATCTGCATAATTGTTCAAACCACGTGGGCACACAAGTGGGTTAACCATTTAGCATCTATACCAAATAGAATGGAAGTATTGTTTTGGGAGCTTTGTGTTATGTGATGGTCTACAGGTCAAAAAGTTGCTCAACCTGGTAGTCTCCACATATATTAAGATTGCAACTTTCCGAATTCCCAGACAGTATGGCCAACAATATGTTGGTTTTTGTCTTTGGTGTTATTCTGAATGGCACAAGATTGTAGGTGTTATTATGTATTACATTAGGTCAGTTTTTCAGTACTAGTCTTTTTTACAGAAACAGGAAAGGTGGGAGCTTCCTGCATTTAAAAAGTGATTTCCTTCATTTAAAACACGGCTTCTCAAAAAAAAAAAAGATTGTGCCAAACCTGTCCATTCTGAAATGTGTTGCTAAGGAGGAAATGTGCTATGCAGACTTCAAACTTAATTTTGATTAAGGGCTGTGCAAAAGTAAAAACCTTTATAGGTAGTCCTGGTTTAGTGACTACAGTTGGAACCAGCAACTTGGATGTTAAGCAAAGCTAAATGAAATTACAAATGGACTTGTGATCATACTTCAGCTTTCCTTTCCTTTATAAATTATGACTTGCAATGGTCATAAATGTGAGGATTTATGTGTACGTTAAATTTAAGTTACTATGTTGTTATTGTTGTAATTGCAAGATTACCTGTATTTCATTCAAAAAATTTAATGTGACACAGGTTAATCTCTTTCTCTATCACAAGTGACATATATATTTATTGTCTGCCATCTGCCATAAGTGTGTGAGATTTCTGGACTTCTTTGTGAAGCTGAATTGCCATTTAATTTCCAATGTGGCATTAGTGTTGTGGATTAAAGCGTTAACTTTCCATTGTTCATAGATGTCAAAATATCTTTTTATTAATTAAGGATACATTTTTGTACATTTTTCAAAGGTTAATTATGAGCTGCTGTTACAAAGATTAATTCAAAATTATGAACTAGATGGCAAATTTTAGCTGACCTTGGATGATCTTAAGAGAAAAAAAAGCAACTAATCAGGTCAAACCAGATGAGCACATGGGAGATTGCCAGAAAACTTCAAAATTGTAAGCCAGACAGGGTGCTAAAAATATTCTGGACATATTTCAGAAAAGAAAATGACAAACTACTTCCATAAAGTGGAAAACAACATAAGAGTCAGTTTTTTTCTTTGACTTTTTTCTTGTGATTTTTTTTAAAAAAGCTCATCAAACTTGTGAACATGAACTAAAGTATATTACAATGTTTTTAAAATGCATAATGTAAATTAAAAGTAGCATTTTAAATTTATGACCTATGACTTCTGTCAGCATCTGCTGATTTCCTTTATGATTGTCTCTATTTCCCAAAAGGCACTTTGCATAATTTTAAAACTGCCATAGGCATTTTAGAGAATTAAAGTAGCACATTAAACATGAGATTTTTAAGATCATGAGAATTAAGATGGATTTAACTTTTTAAGCTATTGTGAATATATTTTGTACTCAGCAGAAATGTTTGTGGGAATATTTGGATCAAGATTATGGTACTGATTTGGATATGTTGACCTTTCACTTGGCTAAGGAAGGAACACTAAACTGTTCAACATATGAGCAAAACTTTTCTTCACTTTTTCTCTTTCTTACAGTTGGTCAGCCTGTTGCTGATTGGAATTGCAGCTTGGGGCATTGGCTTTGGCCTCATTTCCAGTTTCCGGGTCGTTGGAGTAGCAGTGGCAGTTGGAATCTTTCTGTTCCTGATTGCTCTGGTGGGATTGATTGGGGCCATCAAACACCACCAGGTCTTGCTTTTCTTTGTATCCTTTGACTTGAAAGTAATCTAACACATTTCCCTTATTTCTCTTTCTTTGAATAACACCTTCATGGTTTCTTCTACTTCATGGCAGGTTCATTAAATGGAAGACAGTATTTTGTTGAAATCATCTAAAGTACAGGAAAATAAGTGGTTCTTTTTTTTTAAACAACTTGACTTCTATCCTTGTTACAAGACTAAAAGTTAATAGTAACATATTTTTCTGGTAGTATAACTGATTTCTTTCAAATGGCTGAAGATTAAATCTTGAGTTTGTTTATTGAGCTCGCAGTTTCCCAGAGAGAAAATTAATTTGACAGCCAATTAATAAGAGTCCATTGAAGTTGAATGGCTAATACATAAATAACTACTGATCAATTTAATGGGGAAAAAGCATTGATTTCAGATAGTATTAGACACTAAATCTTTTTTAAGATAAAGGTGAAAAAAGTGCTCACTGTTCACTATAACATTATTATATTAATAGGTTGCACAATTAGGTTTTTTTAATACATCTCTTGGAGTCAAACAATAGTTTTTAAAGCCTATTTGGATGCTTTATATGTGGCCCTATAATCTTTTTTACTTTTTCAATACCTAACTTGTACATGACTCCTTATATAACAGATAGTACTTGACATACAAGCACAATTGGAACTATAATAATCCATAGTAAGTTGGGGTATAAAGGAACTCACTACATGACTTTCTCCAAATGACATTTATTGTTGGAAACTGATTGGAAAGGTTGCAGATTGCAATCATATCATCTCAGGAAGCAGCAGCCAGTCATAAATGTGAGCCAGTTCCCAAATTGCAATCATGTGGCTGTGGCTGTGTTTGTATACAACAGTCATAAGTACAGGGAATGGTAATACATCACTTTTTTCAAGGTTATTATTTTGTACCATCATTAACAAATGGTTGTAAAGTGAGGATTACCTATAAGGAACAGAAGAGATAGCTGAGTGTGTAAATATTCATGTAGCTTATGTTATCATTTTTCTGCAGAATATTTTATGCAAATTAAACTATATTAAGTTCAGAAATGATTCAGTAGTTAAAGACACTGAACTTGTCAGCTGGAGAGTAGACAGCCTGGGTGTGAGATCTGAGATCTGTGCAATGGGGTGAGCTCCCATTACTTGCCCCAGCTCCTGTCCACCTAGCAATTCAAAAGATGCAAATGCAAGTAATTTAATAAGTACCATTTATTGGGAAGGTGGGAAGGTAACAGCATTCCATGAACCTTTGGCATATAGCCATGTTGGCCACATGACCATGGAAATAGTCTTTGGACAATGCTGGTTCCCCCAGACAAGAAATGGAGATGAGCACCCTACTCTAGAGTTGGAGACGACTGACAGGGAAACCTTTTCCATTAGTTTAGGAAAGAAAGCTTGTATAAAAGGTGGCAGATGTTTACTCCATGGCAGGTAAATTGCTTCACATTCCAGCAAACTTTAACAATATCTCCTCTTATGTGTGAGTATAGTATCCCTCGCTTTTATTTTACATGCAAATTCATGTATTTCAATTGTTACATTAGGAAATAATCTAATTAGGATTGTTCGAGGGGTGTAAGGCAAAGAAGGAGCTGGTGATTCAAGAAGAAGGTCCAGTCAGATTGAAAAATGGCTACTGCAACAAAGCTAGAATGTTTTGGAGGGCACATACAGAATGCTGCAGACTTGCATGTAGCTGACATGATAGCCAGTTTCACTGAATTGGTTGATGGAAGTGGAAATTATATCATAATCATAATCCAAAATGTGTTCCATATGTCATCTCTCCATCCAACTGGGCTTCCTTTAAATCAGACCAAAATAATTTAGTCCTTTAAATTTGTATCTACATTTTATCCACGTGTTTGTGGCATGCTGCCCGGAATCACTTAGTTGAGTTGGGTGGCATACAAGTCAAACAAACAAATAAAATGAATGAATGATCAAACAAACAAATAAATACATTCTTCAAATGCTGTTTTGATGACTTTAACTAAGATACTTCAGTATATGATTATACTCTTGCTAGTGTTTGTTATACAGTTCTCCGTCTCATGTGCTTGTCTGACATTGAATAAAGAACAGCAGGTAAGACATTTCTTATGATAGCTCTATGTAAAATTTATTATGTGGACAATCTACAATTAGATCCACAATAAAAGGTTGATGAAAATTTAATAATTCAAGTCCTAACCAAGGACCTAATTTTTTTAAAGTATGTGTAAGCAGTTTTATTTATTTATTTATTTGTAAAATTAGAGTGTAAAATGTCATAATATTGAGGGATTACTATTTTCAAAGTGCCATTATGGTTATCAGTAGTATCATAGAGAAGATATTCATAGGCAAAGCTGTGGGTGGGCCCGCAGAAGAGCATTTGCTTGTTAATTAGAAAAAAATAACAATTATAAAATGTAGCATATATTCCCCCATTAGATGGAGAAAACAGAGCAGAAGCCTGACTTGAAGAGTATAGGTCTATTTCATTAAGTTTAGAGAATTGTGCTGTGAATGCTCATCCAAAATCTTAACTTTGGTCCCCAGTTCAAGATACTGAGGCCCAGAAGAATTTCAAAGCTAAAGAAGGATTTATCCTAAAAAAAGACCGAAGACTCTAAAGACTCTTTTTATATATAAAAGACAGAACTTGTAACAACTCAAGACATTCTAGAATAGAATTTCTGGTTGAAGAGCTGAAATAATTTTTTTTATAGCAATACTGCTTTAAATATTCATGATAGATTTTTATGAATCTATTGAAACTGGTTATTGACAGCCATGGCTAGACTCACGAGTTCTAGCAGTATACTACTAAGTTGGAGTTAACTCATTCTTTTCTTCTTCTTTTTCCTGATTAAAAATAATGAAATGAGAAGGTTGGCTCTGGAATTGATCCCCTCCCTCATAAATACTGTCCCATTAAGTACTACTACTGTTAATCCATTTTGTGAAACCTTGGCTGTTCCAGTTAGCCAAAACTAAAACAAAAGAAAAAGGACAGATTAACAAAATAGAGAAACCAAATTATCTGTTGCCTGAAGCCTTTCACCTTAATGTGACAGAAATATCAGTTAAATAGATACTGCAAACAACTTCAATTTAGCTGCAGGTTACACAGACTTTTGAGTAGCATCTTTTAACACATTTAAGATAATCCCAGTCTCTTCACATTCATAGTTTATGCTTGGGTGTAAATCAGTATGCTGGCTAAGGAATTATGAGAGCTGAAGTCCATATACCTTAAAGTTTCCAAATCTGTAAAACTGATTTAAAATAATTTTTGAGCAAACAGAACCCAAAATACAGACATTTCTCCCCATTATCTCCAATATGGCAAAGGAAATGAAGCAGCAGCAATGTAAGTATTTTTTGTGAGCAAGCAAAAATGGGAGAGAGGGAGGGGTGATTTTCTACATAAGAAAAAAATATTGATACTATCCACTGAGGACAAACAAATCCAAGACAGTGACAGTTTTAAAAGTATGAGAAAAATAAGGAAATAAAATGAATAATTAAAATCTGGAAAATGATTCTGTTTGCATTGGTGGTTCAGATATAATTAGCAAACGAGTTTTTATGTAGAAATGTATATCAAACTAATAGCAAAGTTCGGTTCTTGGCTGCTAAATAATTTACTTGTGTTTATAGAACAAACTTCTAGAGGTTGGGTGGAACAACACAAACAATGCAAGGCAGGATATTCAGCGGAATTTAAACTGTTGCGGCTTCTATAATGTCAGTGATGATATCTCTTGTTCTGCTGTAAGTTGACTTTTTTATGTTGTGTTTTTGAAAAACCTTGCTACCATATATGTACTTTGCTTGTCTGTCCCTCTTGGATCTGTAAGGTTCTATCTTTGAAACCCATAATCCATTGCTTGTATTTGATTATAATAGATACAGTTATAGTATATTTGGGGGGGGAAAATAATATGAAAAGTTGCATCCATATCTTCTTTCAAGATCTGTCCAAGAAGCGGAATTCATAAGCACTATGGCAGTCCTGGATTTGGTATAGCTTATTGGGGATCCATTTGACAGCAGAGGTCACACCCCTAGATATGGTTTTCATCTTTGTACAGTGACAATGTGGTTGAATAATGTTAATTCATTCCTTGCCATGGTCCTGGAGTTCTAATAGAAACATTGTAGGGATTTGGCTTATCTCAGGCAATTTATAAATCCAATGGGTTTTCAGAGAGATTGAGGTTATTCCTAAATCCTGTGACCAGTTCAGCTGAGAATTCCACCTAAGTGAACTCTGTGATTATGGATCTTATGGAGTTCATACATGAGTTCTGGAAGATGAAACAACATAAGAGATACCTAGAGGATTGCTAAGACAAAATGCTAATAAGACAAAAAACAAATCTGACAGGCCACAATTGAAATTATGTATTAGAGACTCATCTTGTTACAATAAGATGTTGAAATGAAGTAGCATTTACCTGGACAATGTTAGTATGCAATTTGGAAATTGCATCTGTTTCTTAACTGGGAGGCCTTTTGATCTTATTCATGTCTTAGTCACTCCTAATTCAACTACTGCTATATGACATTATCCTTGATGACTGCTTGGAAGTTTTAACTGGTCCAGAATACAACATGTTCATAATTCTTAATGCTGTGAGATTTGCCCATGTTATATCATTGTGGTGCTGCACTGGTTCTCAGTTCGCTCCCAGGTGCAATTCAAAGGCTTTAAAGCAGGGGTCACCAACCTTTTGGACCTCAGGTACCATCAAACTCATAATTTTAAATCCCGAGGACAACTAATATAAATTTTGACTGATGGTGGTTTGCTGATGTTGGGGAGAGAGGGAGAGAGAGATATCTGATCTAACCTCTCTCCTTCTCTTCCTTCCTCTCTTCTCTCTCTTTCTCTTTCTTTCTCTCTCTCTCTCTCTCTCTCTCTCACACACACACACACACACACACACACAAACACACAGAGGCAGGGGTGGTATTCAATTTTCCTAACAACTGGTTATTGCAGTGGCCTCCAACCTTTTTTGTGCCACGGCCCGGTACCGGCATCACAAAATAATCTGTGGCCTGGTACCAGCATCAGCACGCATGGCAAGGCTAGCCGAGTGACTGGCCAGCCAGCTGTCCCCCGCTTCTCCCCGCCACCTTCAACTCCTCCTTTGTACCTTTGTCTATGGGCTTCGGGACGGCTTCAGGACGGTCGCTCGGCTCGGCTCGCCTTGCCTTGGGTCCTGAAAGAATCGTCGCGCCTTAGTTTTGTTCAAAGCCACCACCCCCCTTCGATGAAACTAAGGCTCGAGGATTCCTTCAGGACCCAAATGCCACTTTCCAACCGGAAAAGCTCACTGGAAGCACTTTCTCATCAAAACAAGATGGCAGCGCCCAGCAAACCGGTGGCCTGGTAGAAAATGTTCCATGGACTGGTCCCGGTCCGTGGCCCGGTGGTTGGGGACCCCTGGGTTATTGGGCATGGCCTAATTTGTGAGTGTAGCTTGGTGGTCATATGACTGGCCGGGCATGGCTTGTATGTAAATATTATAAATATTTATATAAATATTGATTTTTTTATATAAAAAGAGCAACTTTTACCCCAAATCAGGCAAAGCAGGCAGGCAGATTGAGTTGCTCACAAAAACACAGATTCATTCAGAGATCTGTGAGATTGGTTAGCTGAGTCTGTCACATAAAATTTGCTTGCAAGCAAACTCACAAAATTAACTCACAACACACCGTGTACATAAATATTGATTTTTTTTATTTAAAAAAGAGCAACTTTTACCCAAAATCAGGCAAAGTAGGCAGGCAGATTGAGTTGCTCATAGAATTACAGATTCACTTCAATAGATCTGTGTTTCTGGCATCATCTATCTGAGTCTGCAACTGAATAATAGAACCTTCAGTCCTAAGGGAGGTTCGGCTCTGTTTAAAAGCAGAGCCGAAGATCTAAAGATTAGCTAGAAAGCAAGAAAATCAATGATTTCCTGCTTTCTAGCTAATCTAAATCTCCCAGCACAGCAAAACAGTTGATGGTCCAGGGAACAAAAAAAGCAAAAATAGCAACTTAGCAGGCAAGTTTACCAGGTAAGGAGTTAGTGGTGAGGAGGGTTCCTGCAGGCCCTTGTGGGTGGCATAGCATTGTGTTCCTGCACAGTCTGGATTAATTGCTTTGGGGGAGTGCTTTGGGGGTGACATTTCTCTGCGGACTGCCAAAATTTTCTCGCAGACCCCCAGTGGCCATGGCCCACCGGTTGGTGACCACTTCTTTAAAGGACTTCATAGCACAGGTCACCTTATTTGCCTATCTACCTATCCCATCAAATCTGATGGATGAACAGAAGGCTCTGTCAACAGTGTCTTTTGGCATGACCTTGGGGGATGTTTTATCTGTTGAGGTGCTGGCTTTACAGAACAGACTCTCTGTTCTGACCAAGGCTTCCTGAGACACCAGCAAACACACGTTAAATCCAAAACCCCTTTTATTTTAATTCAACGGCTGTGAATGATCGTCATTCACAGCCAGTTATAAACCATGAGTCACAACCATGAATCTCAACCAGTTATAAATAGTCCCATGGAAGTCACCAAAGTTCTTCGGGAAAAGTCTGATAAGAATGCACCTTTATCTTACTTGAAGTGCTGCCAATGACTAAAGTACCAATTAGTCTTTCAAAACCAAATGGAGCACAAATTCACCATGGAGCTTTCAGGTTCCAAACCGACCAGCAAAGACAACGTTGCTTCCTGCAAAGGTTCCTGTCCCTTTGGACTTCCTTTATATCTTATGAGAGGGGCAATCACCTCCAAGCCTTTGTCTTAGAGTCACCCCTTTGTCTTAACTGCTCTTGTCTTCTGGCAGCTCTGCACATACATGCACTGGGAACATGCTTCCCTTGTTCCTCTGCCTCACTGCTGTCAGATTCTGGAGGCTCCTGAGTCAGCACATAACTCCCAGATGGCCCTGGCCCCATCTCTGTATCAGATGCAGAACCATCGTCCGAGTCTTCCCCAGACTCCCGGACTTGCCCATGTTCTTTCCCACCGTCCAATTCTGCTGCAGTCTCCACAGGCTGCCAGCAGACCACAACACACTCCCTTGAGATCTAGATGACCCCTTTTCTCTTGACTCTTCTCCTAGCTTATGAGCCAAGATGTAACATGAAACCAAACTATGAGAAATTATCATGAGATTTTTATGTCACCTGGTTAAACTGTGAAAGTCTTTAATTTGGGAGGAGGGAGTATTTATAATATGTTGGTTTAATTATTGTTAGCTGCCCACTGTTATATTAAGTGTGTGTTGGGACTACAAATATTTTAAATAGCATATATATCTGTGCATGTAGCTATAGATAACTTCCTAATAATGAATTGAAATGATTGTTTGTAGGAATGTTTTGAAACACAGATCTGTAAACCCTGTGCACCTATAATTAAGGAATATTCTGGAATGGTCTTGAGATTTGTAGGAGGTATTGGTCTCTTCTTTAGTTTCACAGAGGTAAGTGCAAAATAAGTGTAAACCAGGGGTGTCAAACTCACCTTGTCACAGCGGTGTCAGATGACATATAGGGACTTTTTTCCCTTCACTAAACCAGGCATAGGTGTGGCCAGCGCATGAAGCATCTGGCCTATGGGCCAGGAGTTTGACAGCTCTGGTATAAACCATTGTGTATGTTTATGTGATTTGGAGAACTTTATAATATAATTTTTTTCTACGAAAGTATTATAGTTGGTATGAAGAAGCATGTTTCTCTTCTATAAAAGTAAAAATATTTTTATTTCTTAGCAAGATAATATACACTATATACAGATAATATACAGATAATATTTCATTGTCAGGTAAAGTTAAAATCCTATACAGTTACTTAAATGAGTGAATGTCATTGAATTTACTGTTTATTATTTCTGTAGAGGTATCATGCATCGAACCATTGTCAGTTATAGCTTATTTCTGGTGATTACACGAACAGTCCATTTTATTTTCTAGGAATGTGCACACTTAAAAAATAATCAGGGGAAGGTACCTTAAAGTATCCATGTCTTTTTTCAGATTTTCTCATTATCTTGAAAAAAAATTAAAAGTCTGTCTTCAGATTTCATAAAAGTTCAATTTCATAGGTTATTCTAAAGTTGAAAATTGGTATATTGTTTACTCATAGATATTATTCCATCATATATGAATATATGATGAGTCAGGAGCATATATGAATATATGATGAGTCAGGAGCATTGCATACAGAGAATATTTATAAATGAAGTGATGTAGTGCTGAAAGATGCTGCAATATATTATGAAGTTTTAACAGATGCTTGCTTTCTTTTCTTCCCTCAGATCCTAGGAGTGTGGCTTACTTACAGATACAGGAATCAGAAAGATCCACGTGCAAATCCTAGTGCATTTCTTTGACCTGGAAATGTTTTCAGGGACTAAAATTTTTTCCCCTTGTGGTTTTAAAAAGCTGAATTCTCCACTGATCTGTCTACTCTCCATGTTAATTGGGGGGCGTGTGCCTTTGAGCTAAGAAAATAGATCTAGAACTGCTTTTCATCCTGTTTTCTAGTGTTCTTTGAAGGAAATAGCCTGAAGTGCTCGTTGTCAATTGTATAACTAAACAGAATATGAATTCTGTAGGAATGTAGTGATCCAGTAGAATTATTCATGGTGTTATTTTTAATTTAAGGAAGGATTTATTTGGTCTAATATATTTCATTTGTCATAATTTCTTTCTTTGATCTATTTCTTCCTCCTTTTTGAAAGACTAATTTACTGGCTTCAGTGCATTTCATTTAAAATATGTTAAAGAAATTGTGCTATTGTTTCTGAAACTGGCATTAATTTAGAAGAAACCCTTCAAATAATGACTTGATAATTGAAAACTAATCATTTTTAATGATTGGGGATTATACCTATCAACTCCTCTCCAATTTTTGGATCTGTTTAAGATAGAAATGCAAATCAGTTCAGTATTGTCCATTAACTTCAGTCGTGGCTATATCAGTAGTGATTCTCTTTAAGCTCAAAAACAGATTATGTCTAAATCAACTAATTTACCTCAGCTCTAAAAGACATAAAATCATTTGGCAGGGATGTGATTCGGTAGTGTTGAAAAAGCACTACGCAATGTAAAACCATCTCTATCTATTGGACCGGACAGAATGTGTGCCTACTTCTTTAAAATGCTATCCACTGCCATAGCTGAACCTCTAAGCATAATCTTCAAAAAATCTTTCAGGACCAGCTCCTTGCCAAAACTATGGTCACAAGCCACAGTAATCCCCATCTTCAAAAAGGGAGACCCCAGCCTAGTTGAAAATTACATACCAACTGTCTAATGAACAATTTGGTTTCAGAAAAAAAACTATTCTGCAATCTGCAACTCTTACACTGCAAAAACATATGGACCACACAACTCGATCAGGGCAAAGCAATAGATGCAATCTACATAGACTTCTGTAAAGCCTTTGATTCAGTGGTACATGACAAACTACTCCTAAAACTAAAATCTTATGGTGTCTCTGGACACCTGCATAACTGGATAGAAGCATTCCTGTCAAACAGACAACAAATGGTCAAAATTGGGAGCGTCCTATCAAATTCTGTAGCTGTCAACAGTGGTGTCCCCCAGGGCAGTGTTCTAGGACCAGCTCTCTTCATACTCTACATAAATGATCTCTGTCATCATATTAAGAGCAACTGCATTCTCTTCGCTGATGATGTAAAGCTATTCAACACCACAGACTATGCTGCTACCCTTGAAAAAGACCTCGACTATGTATCAGAATCGTCAAACAAATGGCAACTTCAAATCTCAACAAATGAATGCTCTGTCTTACATATTGGCAAAAAAAATCAGAAAATAAAATACAGGCTGAATAGTCAAGAACTTGTTGATGATCCAAACTCTGTCAAGGATCTTGGAATACTCATCTCTAAGGATCTAAGTGCTAGAGCCCACTGTAACTACATAGCCAAAAAGGCATTAAGAGTTGTTAACCTAATCTTACATAGCTTTTTCTCTGGTAATATTACACTACTAACTAGAACATACAAAACATTTGCTAGACCAATACTTGAATACAGCTCATCAGTCTGGAACCCATATTACATATCTGATATTAGCACAGTTGAGAAAGTCCACAAATATTTCACAAGAAGAGTTCTCCACTCTTCTACTCGTTGCAGAATACCTTATGCCACCAGACTCGAAATTCTAGACCTAGAAAACCTAGAACTACGCTGCCTTCAGTCCGATCTAAATATAGTATATAAAATCATACATTGCAATGTCCTACCTGTCAATGAATACTTCAGCTTCAACACAAGAGCAAACAATAGATATAAACTCAAGGTTATTCGCACCAAATTTGATTGCAGGAAATACGACTTCAGAACAGAGTGGGAAATGTCAGGAATACTCTACCTGACTCTGTGATTTCTTCCCCAAACCCCCAAAACTTTTACTTTAGACTTTCTACTATTGACCTTTCCTAAGGTTGACCTTCCCTTTCCTAAGAGATCTGTAGTGGGCCTACCGTCTCTGTCCTATTGTTTCTTTTATTTTTCTTATATGTATCCATGTATTCATAACTATGTTTTTACTTATACCTATTATCTTGTAAGCAATTGACAAACCACATAAAATAAATAAAAAATAAATAGTGGGATTCAAAATTTTTTTACTATCAGTTCTATAGGTGTGGCTTGGTGGGCATGGCATCGCTTGGTGGGCATGGCTTGGTGGGCATGACAGGGGAAGGATACTGTAAAATCTCCATTCCCACTCTACTCTAGGACAAGGATATTGTAAAATCTCCATTCCCACCCCACTCCAGGGGAAGGTTAGTGCAAAATCCCCATTTCTTCCACACTTCACTAACCTGCTTTCCAGCTCTGTTCTCCTGTGCAGGGCAACAAAAGAAGACCCAGCCGATAACCTGGGACTTGAGAGGCAGAGAATACATGCTGGTGGAACCAGTCAGAGGTGGTATTTGCCAGTAGTTCTCTGAACTACTCAAAATTTCCACTACCGGTTTTCCAGAACTGGTGAGAACCTGCTGAATACCACCTCTGATGTGTTTGGATATTATCCAACATTATACATTTTGGAAGGCTGACTATTAGGGCTTTTTTTCACTGCTCAGTATATGAACACAGTAAGAAAGAGAAATGAATTTTCACAGTATACTAAATTTGTACAACTTGTGTAACATAAAATGATAAATGGGGAAGCATAGTGTGTAGTTGGCTTGTCATGGTAAGACATAGATGCTAGGAGGTTTTGGGGAAGTGGCAATTCCTTTTTGTCAGCTTCTGCGGGAGTTTGCTGAAACTTGTTAAATAAAACACTTTACTCACAGTCCTGGTGTGGCAATGTGTGTTTTTTATGGCTTGTTTCCTCCAACAGCAGCAACAAACAGTAAGTCCAAGCAAAGCCAGCGCTGAGAACGTCTGCCTCTCAGTGCTTTTTATAATCTCTTTCCACCCCCGATCATTAGCTAACACCTACCCCTAACAACTACCCAACATCCGTCTTCACTCATCCATGCTGCCACCCACCTGGATTCTAACCATGGTCCAAACTCCCAGACAACACCTCCCCTTTATCCCGGGTGTCTTTCTACCCCAATCCCCCATATGAAATGCCGACCAACCGATACTATATTCCGAAATGTTTTCCGGCTGGTCGTGCTGAGAAGAGGGAGAGGCGTTTTGCCTAGAAAGTTGCAAAACACTGAACAGCTGACAAGGCAATCTCAGGTGGTCATGCTGAACAGCTGACAAAGCAGTCTCTCAACCGGTAGCTTCAACCATGATGATGTGTCGGGCTTTTTTTCATCGACAGCGTTGGTGAAACCTGACATGGGGAGAGGAGGGTGTGCTTGGCGTCATCAGATGTCACTGACCTGGGATCATCAGGAAGGATAACTTGCCCCAGTCTTGAGGACATGATTATGTGTCAGGCTTCATTTCATCAGCAGCGTTGTTGAAGCCTGTCATGCAGCCACCTCTACCGTGTGTCTCTCTGAAACAAAAAACAAGCAATAACTATCTTGTATATACAATTTCCCCTTCCCTGCCCACTTTTGTGGAGTATTTCTATGGAACCACCACCACAACTGGGGAGTGGACACATCTGTACATGGTATCCATGCTGCGTCTGATAGTGGATACCCCTTCCAGCTAACTAGATATTGCAGGATACCCCATCGTCGACGTGAATCGAGTATCTTGTCAATTTCATAATGATCATCCTGTATTGGTCCTAGTGTAGTCACTCTTGGTTCTTGTCTGGCCATATTGGCTGGTTTTAGTAGATTAATGTGGAATACGGGATGAATTCATTTAAAATGAGATGGCAGTTGAAGACCCACCGTTACTGGATTTATGATTCATAATATTCAAAATGGTCCAATATATTTTGGTCCTAATTTTTTCTTATTTAGACCCAGGTGTATTTATTTGTTGATAGACCCAATCTCCAATATTATATGGTTTTTGGTCGGATCATTTCTTGTTGCCTTGGGTTTTATACGCTTCTTGTGCCTTTTTTAAATGCAATTCGAACTGAGTCCCATTGTTTCTTTATATTGGCTGCCCACGTAGTGGTATTAAGAGTGTCTTGGGTTTGTTCAGCCTGCAGCCATTCCAGTATAGGTACAAATTCCATCCCATTAACTATTTGAAAGAGAGAATAACTGATGCTACTATGTACCGCATTATTATATGCAACTTCAGCATATGGCAGTAAAGTTGTCCAATTGCTTTGTTGATAATTAACATAACACTGGAGATATTGTTCAATGGCTGCATTAGCTCTTTCGGCTGCTCCATTGGTAGCTGTACCATGTGTCAATCCAATTGCATAGATGAATTCATGCCAAAATTTGGATGTAAACTGCATTCCTCTATTGGATATAATTCTTTTGGGCACTCCATGTAACTGTTATGTATGTTGTATAAATAATTGTGCTAATTTTTTAGCTGATGGTATTCCTTTGCACAGTACAAAATGCACCTGTTTTGAAAATAAATCAATAATAGTCCATATAACTGTGCACCCATTATTATCTGGTAGATCCACTATGAAATTCATCCCAATTTCTTACTAAGGTTTCGTTGGTTCAGATACAGACTGCAATAAACCTGTTGGCTTTCCTATTTTTGTTTTATTTATCATACACACTGGACAGGATTTCACATACGTTTTGATATCCAATCACATGCCTGGCCACCAAAACTGTCATTTTGCCAAATGTAATGTTTTCAGGAATCCATAATGTCCTGCTTGCTTAACATCATGACATCGTTTCAGCACCACTGATCTTAATACGTTTGGTATATAAATTTTGTTCCCATGCCAGGCAATACCATCTTTCATTTCTGCTTGATTTACATTATGTATTAACCAATCATCTTCTGCTAACAACACAGGCAGGTCTGGTGCAAGTATAGTGGCTTTTAATCCTTCGGCTTGATCAATTATCGGTATAAGTGGTTAATTCTCACATTGACTACAATACTGTGGAAGTCGGGATAAAGCATCCGCCATAAAGTTTTTCCCTGATGGAACATATTTCAATGTGAACTTAAACCTTCAAAAAAATAAAGCCCAATGAACTTGTTTCGGTGATAAGCAATGTGGATTTTGGAGGGCTTCCAAATTTTTATGGTCAGTCCACACCTCAAAAGGTTTTGGACTGCCCTCCAACAAATGTCTCCAGGTCAATAATGACCAATGAACCATGAAAGCTTCCTTCTCCCAGATCACCCAATTACGTTCATTTGGACTGAATTTATGAGAAGTGTATGTACACGGGTGTAAAACCCCATCCGCATTCCTTTGCAGTAGCTCAGCTCCTACTGCTATGTCACTGGCATCTGCCTCAAACACAAAGGGTAACTCTACATCTGGATGTTTCAACACAGATTCTCTCACATACAAATCCTTTAGGTTGTTAAATGCCTGTTGACATATATCTGTCCGTGGCAGCCTAGTATTTCCCTTTGTATTTTTAATCTTGATAGATTTTGTCTTTAATAAATCTGTTAAAGGTAGAGTAATATTGGCAAAACAAGGA